TATATATATATATATATATATATATATATATATATATATATATATATATATATATATATTATATATATATATATATATATATATATATATATATATATATATATATATTATATATATATATGTATTATATTATATATATATATATATATATATATATATACTATATATATATATATATATAATATGGATATAGCAGTAGACTTTAGTGAACATCCGCAGTGAAAGTGAGCGCATGTGGAAAGAGCGCGTGTGGAGCGGATCCGCAGTGTGACTTTGCCGCGACCGCGTTGACTTTCCGCAGTGAAGACGCGACGGTGAGCGCGTGTGGACTTTGCCGCAGTGAGCGCGTGTGGACTTTGCCGCAGTGGGACTTTGACATTGTGAGCGCGTGTGGACTTTGCCGCAGTGGGACTTTTCCGCAGTGAGCGCGTGTGGACTTTGCCGCTGTGAGTGCATGTGGACTTTGCCGCGCGAGCCTCACACGTGGCATTTGTCACGACTTTTTTTTTTCATTTATGATGTTATTCTTTGTTTGTGCAGATCATATCATATATCAGTGAGTGTATTTTTTACATTTCTTGATGACAGTGCCCTTAGATTTGTCCCATCTTAGCGCGGTTCTTATATTTAGAATAACCGAAAATAATGACAAGTTATGCAAGATATAATTTCCAGAGATTTCCTGTTATGACCAAATACTCTATATGTTACAGTTTACATTATACAAATCATAGAAAACTAAAAAGACCAGAGAAAATGTCATACTTTTTAAGGGTAGACTTCATCATTGTTAGTGCTATTATTATTGTTATCATCGTCATTATAATTATCATTATCATGATTAAATTTGTCACTTAATTTTTCATTTTCTTCCCCCTTTTCTTCTATTCCCTCTTTTTCCCCTTCTCCTCTTCCCTTTCTCTTATTTCTTCTATTTCAATCTTCTTTTTCCCTTCCCTCCTTCCATTCCCTCTTCCTCTTATTTGCTCTTTTCCTAACTACCCCCTCTTCCTTTTCTCCTCTCTCTTCCTTTCCTTTTCTCTTTAAATTATTTTCTTTCTGTCCCCCCCTCCACGAAAAGGAGGAAGAGTAGGAGTTAGAGGTGAAAGTATAGATCTAGGAGGAGGAAGAGGAGGAAGAGAAAAAGAGGGGAGAGGAGTAGGAAGAAGAGGAGGAAGAGGAACGGTGAAGGATGATGAGGAGGAGGAAGAGGAGATAGAGATGAAGATGTAGGAAGAGGAAGAGGAAGAGATGTTGGAGGTGAAGGAGGAAGGGTAAAAAGGAAGGCGACGACGAGGAGGAGCAGAGGAGGAAAAGAGGATTAAGGAAAAGATTATGATGAGTAGAAAAAAATAAAAAGATAAAAAAGAAAGAGGGTGAAGAGGGAAAGAGTGATTTTTACTTATTTATTTGTACTTGGTGAGGGTGAGAGAAAGGGAGGAGGGATAACAGCAGAGAGAAGAGGGGAATTAGCAAAAAATGTTTCGACACAAATAACGTAAGATTTATAGATAACAAACTAATAATGCAACAAAGACAGGAAAAAGGAACAGACGAATATGCTTTCCCGATATAGTTTTTTTCCGAAGACGCAAACCAGTGGAAAATAAGTACATTATCTTTGACTACTTTGTTACACAAATGATAAACGATGGACTTGTAATTCACATTTAAATTTATATAATAAGTTTCAAAATTTGAGAACATTTCTCATAGATAAAATTATATTTTTTACGATATATTTCCATGTACTAATGACTTTGCACTAAGCCGGATCACATATCCCCCTACATATTCTTTAACCTTTGATGACGGTGACGGCGATCGCCGTCATCGGCTGCCACCCTGATCTGCCGGGGACGGCCGAATCCGTCACGGATCCCCTGGCTGTTCGAGCCGGGAACGGCAATCACCGGTTGGTCTTATTCCATTTGCTAATGAACAGTTTTTGAAGGTTTTTATATATTTGAAAGTGTGTGTTTGTTATTATGTTTGAGGGTGTATAGAAGAATATGTGTGTGTGTGAACGTGTTTTTTGTTGTTTGTGTGTCAGTGTATGTATCTAAATCTGGGGATCAACCTTGATAGTACGTGATCGCGTGATTAGGTTTTCCCGGGTGGATGATGGTCATGCCTGGCGGGCCTGGCGAGCTGATGAAGAAGCCGGCCATTCCGCTTGTCTTCCTCACTGCATGGCGGGGCTGGGAAAGCGGGCCGACAAAGCAAGACATTCGGCTCGGCGGACGCCGTAGCGACGACAGCGACACCTAACCCTGGACTCCAACTGCATGGCGGGCCTGAGCAAGCGGCCGACGAAGCAAGGCATTCCGTTTGGTGGACGACGTAGCGACGACAGCGAGACCTTTCCCTGGCAGGGAAGGTAGGTATGTGTGTCTGTATGTTTAAGTCTGTGTGCGTCTTCGTGTATGTGCGTATAGGTTTGTGTGCGTTTTCGTGTATTTGAGTGTGTAAGCTTCCGGCTGCCTAGCGGGCTGCCTAGCGGGCCTGCCCGAGCGGCTGGCGGAGCCGAGCTTGCCCGAGCGGCTAGTGAAGTTGCTTGGCTGGCGGAATCGCTGCGGCAGCGACCCCCCATCCTGGGCAGATAGGAGGGGGTTGACACCCGTCTAAGAGGAAGTTTGTGAGGCCCGCTTCATGGATGCGCTGCATGGCGGGCCTACGCGAGGAGCTGAAGGAACCGGTCTTCCCGCTTGGTGGGCTGTGACAGAGCGGCCTTTACTGTCGAATGTTCGCTCCCGTCTTTTTGTTTTTTGTTTTTTTATTTTCAGAAAAAATGAAATGAAGAAGACAAGAAACGGGGGAGTGTGAGAAGGGGGAAAGAAGGTAGATATAGACATACAAAGAAAGGAGAGAGAGAGAATAAAATGGCAGAAAGAAAAGAAGAATGATTCCCACGTTTTTCAAGCATTCCCGCGCTGTTGACACGTGAATAGTCACGTGACCTGACTTATAAAAAAATATTGAAGGGAAGAAATGGGGGATTGGGAGACGGGGGAAGAGGAGGTAGAGAGAGAGAGAGAGAGAGAGAAATTTATACACACAGACACACACGCGCGCACAGAGAGAGAGAGAAAGAAACACACACACACACGGGCACACAGAGAGAGAAACACACACACACACACGCACAGAGAGAGAGAGAGAAACACACACACACATACACACTTACAGAGAGAGAGAAACACACACATACACATACACACACACATACATACACACACGCACAGAAAGAGAGAGAGAGAGAGAGAGAGAAGAAAAGAGACAGAGAGAGAGAGAGAGAGAAAGAAAGAGACAGAGAGCGAGAGAAAGAAAGAGACAGAGCGAGAGAAAGAGAGAGACAGAGATAGAGAGAAAGAAAGAGACAGAGAGAGAGAGAAAGAGACAGATAGAGATAATAAAAATGGGAGAATGCAAAGAAGAATGATTCCCGCGGTTTTCAAACATTCCCGCCACGTTACCTGTCACGTGAACTGTCAAGTGAATAGTCGTGTGAATCACATGGCCTGACGTGGAATGCTTTGGCGAGTGCTGATTGGCTGGACACCTGGGAAAAAAAATCGAATAAAAGGTTAAGCAGAGGGCAAGGAAAATCACTTGCCAGCCATGTCTCGCCAGCTTTCTTGTGTGCGCTCTCGAAGGCCGAGGAACTCACCAGCCGTCCGATCTTTGTCTTTTGACGAGGAGGAGACGGTTAATAATTCTCAGCCTTCGACCTCGAGGAGCCTTCCTCGCCTGAGGAATGCTCCTGATCCCCGTTTGTATCTTTTTCGATCATCCGCCGACGAGGGAGTCGATGATGATTCAGAAGACGACTACACGCCCCCATTGAAACTGTTAAGGAATAGTGATCGATTTGGTAAGTTTTCTAATTTTCTTTGATTGGGAAAATACCTGGCTCTTTTGACATTACTTTATATTTCTGTATGGTATCACTATTTTACAGAGAACTCATGTTTTTCTTTCGTGTTTACAGATGTCGAAGTCTCCGGCCGTTTCGACGGCGACGACTCGGATTGGGAGGAATCCGAGTCTGAGCCCGAGGACCAGGGCAAAGACGACGATTTGGTCGATGATTTGGACGACGATTACGTCGCCCCAGCGGACACGTCGTTGGACTCCTACGAGCCTCTCGCGGAGTACGTTCGACGTCATGCTGAGGCTGCTGCCGCAGGCCCAGGGTCGCCATCCTTCTTGTGGCAGGAGAGGGAGAACCGGCCTAAGACTTTTGAGTTTCTTGGGAACCCAGGAGTTCAGGAGGGTCTGGGTCTCGATCGGTCGTCGAGCCCGCTCGGGATCTTCAATTGTTTCTTCCCCGACGATCTTCTTGAGAAGGTCGTCGAAGAAACGAATCGGTAAGCATCTGCCAATTGTTTCTTGTGTTCTAATTTGAAAGTGTGGTTATTTGCATTCTATTTGTTCATTTTGAAACCATTTTTTACAATGTCTTTTCTTGTAATTACAGATACGCACATCAGAATCATCGCCTTCATCCCACATGAAGGCGTGGGAAGACACGACCGTAAGGGAGATCAGGTCTTACCTGGGACTGAGGTTTCTCATGGGGCTACGGTCCCATTGCACAGTGAGGGACTTTTGGTCCACAGACCCTTTGATGTCATCATCCATATTCCCGAAGACGATGATGCGAGACAGATTCGATTCTCTGACGTCGGCCATCCACTTCGTCGATAACGAAGAGGAGAGACAGGGGGACGGCCGTCTTTGGAAGGTGCGTCCCGTCCTTGATGTCTTGGACGAGACTTTCCGTACGGTCTTCATCCCCAATAAGATCATAACCGTCGACGAGAGCTTGTGGGCTTTCAAGGGGCGCCATCATGCCGTCCAGTACAACCTGAGCAAGCAAGCAAGCAAGGAGAGTGATGAAGGTCTACAAGCTCTGCTCGTCCGACGGTCCTGAGGCGGGATATACGTCGGCCTTCAAGATTTACACGGGACAGGATCGTGGGGAGTGTCCCGCGAGTATGAAGGCCATCATAGACCTGATGGATAAGGCGTATCTCTTCGACAAGGGATACGATATGCACACCGACAGGTGGTATTCCTCACCGACTCTCTTCAACCACCTGCAGGCCCGGAAGACCAACGTTGTTGGTACAGTCCGCCCCAACAGGAGGGGCATGCCAGCGGACCTGCAGCCGAGTCGGGGACTAATCGACTTCCGGAGTACACCGACCAGAATGATGTGCCTTCAGTGGGTGGACAAGCGTGCCGTCACGATGCTCTCCACCGCCCACACCAGCAGGATCGTGACCCTGCCTCCAAACCGCCGAGGGGAACAGAGGTCGAAGCCCGAAGTCGTTGTGAGTTACAACAACAGGATGAAGGGCGTCGATCTCTCGAATCAGCTGGCGCGGTCATATCCATTAGCAAGGAAAACCATCAAGTGGCACAAGATCTTCAATCTACTGGATATGACAGTCGTCAATGCGCTGGCTGTCCACCGGGTCCTCGGCGAGAAGCTCACTCAGGCGGACTTCAGGCTGGAGTTGGTTCGCGGACTTCTGCAGCGGGGAGGACGCCCGGGATCGTTCAGAAGAGTTCCACCGCGACAGCAAGAGGAGCAGGACGACCAGCAGACACACATGCCAGCAGACACACCTTTTAGGTGTTGGAGGAGGTGTTTGCACTGCTGGAATGTACATCGAAGAAGGAAGGAGACCAGGGTAATGTATACAAGCTGCAAGATCTCTCTGTGTGCTTCTCCTTGCTTCAAGGAGTTCCACACTTGA